CCATCCCATGTCCCACTCTCCCCCATCAAAGGTCACCTCCACCCCTAGACTCCCTCCTGCTCTCTCCATCTGTCCTGCTCCTCTGCGGGAACCCAAACTGCAGATTGATTCAATTGTATTTTGACTCTTTTGCTATATGCTCCTTAGCCCTCTGCCTTCCTAACCCCACCCCCCGATACGCCACCATGCTCTTTCTCCGGAGGCTTTACCAAGCATCTGCATGTAAGCCCCACCGAAGGAACTGGCCACGTTTTAAAGCATGCTGATCACTGGGTGGGTCACTTACCTGTGCATATTACAGCCAATCCAGCCATCTAAATGAAACCTTCATTATAGCACAGCCCCATCTATTCAGCTGGCCACATCTCCAAACCATCTTCCCAGTGGGCACAAATTCTTAATTAACTTAAGCTCAAAACAGACAAATGGTGAAACAGAAAAGACTCACAAACCACACACTCTGTCATCTCTCACCCAACAGAGACAAGACCTCTAGACACCATCAATCTATTTAAAGAGATCACCAAACGGTCAGACTATGAAACCAAGAGAATCCAGTCCCAGAAATCAAACAAATATTCAGAAAGAATCAAAATCAAATTCTCACTGTGCTATCAGTGGACAAGAGTCTGGAGCACATGGCCGGGAGTCGCACTCACCTAGGATCCCTGGCCAGGCAGGAGTAGCATCCCAAGGGCTCTGAGGGGCCTCACTACCTGGGTAGAGTGAATAGGGATTGGAAGGCATGTCCAATCCATACCACATAAGGCACCAAGACAGCAGGGAAATGCATCAGACACATAAGGAAGTGATTTTATTCTAAAAGACTTTTTTTTTTTTGGTGGCTCGCGGTGTGGGGATCCAAATCTTTAACCTTGTAGTCACAAGCTGGGTTATTATAGAGGCAGTTAAACAAGGGAGTCCTGCAGAAGGCCAGCAGAATAAACGAGGCAAAGTGGTCCTCCAGGGTCGCCACTTCTCAGAACACAAAGGAATGGGGCATTTCCCAACTACCACAGCTTTTCTGGAGCACAGGCCTCATGAATTTCAACACTGTCAGTCTGCCTCGGTGTCTCTGTGCTTGGAGGATAGTGTGTGTTTCCACCGCGTGTGGCTGTCTCGGTGTTTCTGAGTGTCTGCTGGTGTGTCTGGGTATTTGCAAGGTGTGTGTGACTCGTGCCTGTGTTTCCAGTGGAATGTGTGTGTTTCAGGGTGAGTGCCTGCCTTGGTATTTAGTTGGGTCTAGGGTGCTACGTGTCTGTCCGTCACTGTGTTCCTGTTTTCCTGTGGGATGGGTGTGTTTCTTGGTGCATCTGTCTCTGTGCTTGTGTGTCAGGTGATGTGTACATGTTTGTGTGTTGCAGAATGAGGTGTGTTTTTGTGAGTGTGGTGGGTTGCCTCGATGTTTCTGCATCTTCTGGTGTGTGTGTGTGTTGCAAGGGTCTGTGTGGTGAGTTGTGTTTATTTCATGTTTGTGTCTCTGGTGAAGGAGGTATGTTTGCAGGAGGAATATTTTCTCTTTTTTCTGTGTCATTGACTTTGTATGTGTTTGTTGCAGGGAATGTGTCTGCCTCAGTGGCTCAGCGTGTGTGGTGGGAGATGTGTTTTGTATGACATATATCTGTTTCCAACTTTTTCTGTGTCTGGTGAAACGTGTTGCAGGGTTGCATCTGTCTCGTGGTTTCTTTGTGGCCCATGGTGTGTGTGTGTGTGTTGCAGCCAGTGTATGTCTTGGTGTTTCTGTGTCGGGTGGTATATGTTGTGTGTTGCAGAATGAGTCATTTTGTCTATTTTTTTGTGTGTCTGCTGGGTTTCCTGTGTGTGGCTCTCAGGGGAGTGTCCTCCATATGACTGCGCATGCCTGTATGTATGCGTCGCAGCGTGTGCTCTCCTGGTGTGCGTGTGTGGTATTGCAGGGCTAATGCTGTGGTGCTTCTGTGAGTGGTGGATTGTGTGTTCATGGCGGAGAGTGGCGGTCTGTTTCTGTCTAGCAGAGCATGTATGTTGGCAGGTGAGTCTCTGTGTTTCTTTGGGCCCAGGTGCACGTGTGGGGACATGTGGCAGCGCGTGTTCCTGTCTCTGTCTCCGGGGTTCTGGTGGCTTGTGTGCATGTGCGTGTGCTTGAGTTCCAGGGTGTGTGTTTGTGCTGGTGTTCCTGTGTGTCTGGTGGAGAACGTGTGTGTGTGTGTTGCAGGCTCTGGCATTGTGCATGTGTGCAACCAGGGCCTCTCCGTGTGCCGTGTCCCTGCTTGAAGCCAGGCTGGCCCGGGCCCTTCTCCAGTCCCCACATTCCTCCCGCTCCTTTGTGCTCTGTGCTACAAAAAATATTTGCATTTTCCACAACTCGTAATTTTTCCTCCTCAATCGCTACCAGATGTGGGTCCTGTGGTCCCCATCCCTATGGCAACGGAGGTTCCAGCAGCCGCGGTTCCCATTTGTGGCGCCTGCCCTGGGAGTTAGTACTGCTGTGAGCCCTGAGGAGGGGGGTAAGGAAGGTGGCAGGCAAGGGGTCCCAACATCTCCCTCCACAGGCGGCTACCTGGACCCTCCTGGGGGCAGGTGGCAGGAGCTGGCTGCTGAAGTTTAGGGGCATCCCTACTCTGCGAGTTGCCCACGGAGGTTCTCCCGGGAAAGGGGGAGGAGAGCCCTAGGAAAGGCCAGTCTCTGAGACCCCCTGGTCTCCCAAAATCATGCTGGTCCAGGCCTGGGGGGAGAGAGACAGCTAGAGGTAGAAGTTGGGGATCAGGGAGCAGCAGTGTGGTGGCGTGACAGCTTGGCAAGAGAGTGGACTTAACCACCACACTGCCCCCTACTCCCCAACCACTGCCTTTGCTGAGCCCAGCTGGGCATCTGCCCCTCCTGGCCGACTTTGAGCCTGTGTCCTCAACCCAGTAGCCAACATAGCAGGGTGCCTGGATGGCCTGAGGAAGCAGCATGGACTGGGGACAGGGAGCCCACATTCCACGTGCTGCCTGACCAGGCCAGGCACAGGGACTTTGTTCCTGCCAGCCACTCCGGGTGTCCTGCCCGGGGCAGGAGGCCATCTCCGCTCAGGTGGCAGAGCCTCTGTATGGGTGACCGAAGTTAATCTTAATGCGGTATCTGGCCAGGGGAGGAGAGTGTTGCTAAGGTGAGATCCCTGAGCTGCCAGATGATAGGGCCATGTGCTGGGCTACAGGCTGGGGACAGGGAGATGATTGGAGGATCTTGGCAGAATCACAAGATTCTGAGCTGGGCATCAAAAATGGCAGAGGGCTGACCAGTTCAGTTGGTTAGAGTGTGGTGCTGATAACACCAAGGTCCAGGGTTTGATCCCTGTTGCTGGCCAGTCACCAAAAAAAAAAAAAAAAAAAAAAAAAAAAGAATAAAAAGAATGGGGAGATGTAGGAAAATGGGAAGAGGCCTGCTAGCCAGGGACAGGAGATGGGGGCAGCCCAGATGGACGGAGCTGCTAAAACTTAGTTCCAAGGATAGTAGGAACCATGGGGAGTAAAGATCCATGGCTTGGGAAGGCCACCTAGGAGACCTGCCCAAAGGGATGACCCAGGGGGACAGGAGCAGTGAAGGTACTTGGGGGCAGATGGTCTCAGAAAGGCCAGTCAGGCGAGGCCCAGCAGTAGGGGGCTGGCTTGAGGGCGGGTGCTCTGGGCCAGACAGGCTCCCCTCCCTCTCCCTCCCGCAGGCAGCAGGCAGGCGGGAGAGGAGAGTTTCCGGCTGAGGACAAGGAGCCCATTGAGGAGGACAGCGGGGCTCTGTGCAGCGGCAGACCGTCTTGTTTGTGCCGGACGAGGCCCGATGGAAGGCTGTACCCACAGCCCACATGCCCCCTCGCCCAGCCTCTGGCCCACCCCAGCCACCCCAAACAGCTCTGACCCCCAAGATTAACAGCAGTGGCCAGTGGGGAAGGCACAGATCAGAAACAAGCCCCACCACCTGCCCCGCAGGCTCCACCCGATCTGACCTAAACCATCCTTCCTCCCAAGAGACCAGTCCAGGATGGGACAGGCCAGGGCTGGGGCCCCATAAGCTTGATAAACAAATAATGATGGACAGATGGGCCAAGCCTACTTCCAGCATGGCCCGGGAGACCCACACCTGGGCTCCAAGGCTTAGGTGGAGAGGTCCTGGGGATGTGAGTGCTGGAGAGAAGAGGTCACATACTATTTCTTTTGGGGGATATCTTTGCCCAAAGCCCACGGACAGGAAGTAATCAGAGAACAGGGGGGGAAAAGGCACTTTATTAAGAAAGCTTTGGCCAAGCCCCTGCCGGGAGGCGCCCATCCTGGGGCACCTGGGTGGGGTGGGAGCAGCCCTGCCGGGGGCCTATAAATACATCTCCTCAGGCCACTGGAGTCGCCCCTGGGGTTCCCACTCGTGTGGGACGGTGGGAGGCCATCAAAACCAGCTCGACAGCTGAGGGGCCGGGGCTGGAGGCACTGGGGAGGGGGAAGAGGTGGGACCAGCCAAGCCAGGGACGCCGAGGCCTCTGAGGAGCAGAGACCAGCCCTCCTCCCCAGGCTCCGGGTCAACCAGATGCCCTGGAGCCTGGCCAGAGGAAGTATCCTCGGGCTATAGCCAAGGAAAGGCGCCTCCAGCCAGGGGCGCCAGGCCCCGGCCAATGAGAGGCAGCCGAGGCATTAGTGCTTCTGGCCTCAGCCAATGAGAAGGCAGCCACAGCCAAGTGCACTCTTGGCCAGTAAGAGGTGGTCGCTAGGTACAATCCTTCTGTTCTTGGCCAGCGAGACGCGGGCTGGACGGAGCGCTCCATAACTCGGCCAATGGGGAGGGAGTAGCCTGCTAAGCGCCTACCAGGCCTCGACCAATGGGACGAGGCCTTCCCGCCTGAGCGCGCCGCTCCCATCGAGGAGAGGCTGCTGGGGCCTGAGCCAATGAGACGCAGCCTCCCGCCAGGCCGCTCGGGGCTTCGGCCAATGGCACGCGGGGCGGGAAGCAGCGCTGCTAAGCCAGGGGAAGCTGCGGGCGCAGCGGGCCGCCGACGGCTACAGGGTGGGCGCGCCCGCCCTGCCCAGCTCGCTTGCCGCCTCCCGGCTCTTTTTGCGCGGCGGCTTTTGGATGGGGGTCTTCTTCCGGGGGGTCTCGGGCGCGGGCGCGCTGGCCGCCGCCTTCTCGGGCCCCGGGGCCTCAGGCGCGGC